CCCTCAAAATACCAGTTCAAAATGCACCAAATATCCCCATTGTTGATTCTTGTTAAAAATGCAAGTTCCTGGGCCAGGCGCATGGGTCACGCCTATAATCCCAGCACTTTGGGAGGCTGAGGTGGGGGGATCACCTGAGATCCGGAGTTCGAGGCCAGCCTGGCCAACATGGTGAAACCCCCTCTCCACTCAAAATTTTAAAAATTAACTGATTGTGGTGGCTGGCGCCTGTAATCCCAACTACTCGGGAGGCTGAGGGAGAGAAATTGCTGGAACCCGGGAGGCAAAGGTTGCAGTGAGCCGCGACTGCTCCATGACACTCCAGCCTGGGCAACAAGAGTGAAACTCCGCCTCAAAAAAAAAAAAAAAAAAAAAAAAAAAATGCAAGTTCCCAGGCTCCTGTGCAGATCAACTGCAGGGCAGTCTCCAGGGGCGGGACCTGAGAAGCTGCATTTCAATCATGCGCCGCAGGTGGGTTTTAAGATTAGAAAAAGGTGGGGACAAACCAGCCAGACTAGAACTGCCTTCCCTGGCTCTGCAGGCCCTGTCCTAAGGGGAGAATAGAGTGATCCCTCCTGGGCTTCCACTCCAAACCCTGGAAGGTCAGGGCCAGAAGATCCTTTTCATTATTTTGCCCAAAGACAGATGAAATCGGCCAGAGGTGCTGAAGAGTACAGTTTACAAAACAGTGAAACACATGTAGAAATGCCCAAAGTTCTACTTTTTCCCCACGATGCTGGTGTGAAGTTTTCCATTTTATTTTTGTTTAAAACTCTCTGGGCTCTGAGCCCAACCCTCCACCTTAGTATTGGTGTCCCGCCCGCCGTGGGGGTCGCAGGACCGGCGCCGGGCCTGGCCGGAACGAGGGGTCACTGGGGCCTTCGGGCTGCCCCGCTCCAGAACCACCGCCGCCTCGTCCCCGCCCCACAGTCCTACAGGCGAAGACACCGGGGCCCGTCGGCCGCGCTGCGGGACCCCGGGCTGGCGGGGGCGGGGCGGGCTGTGTAGAACCACACGGTGACCGCGCAGGCCGTGCGCGCGCAAACACCCCGCACGCCCGCGGCCTTGCGCCGCGCGGGCTTGCCGGGAGCGGAGCCGGCCCGCCGTCGGCGGAGAAGAACGATCCTCGCTGGGGAGCGCCCGATGCCCCGCCTTACCTGGCCGCCGTCAGCCTCGTCGCCCGACTCGGCCGCGCTCCCGAAGTAGTCTTCGTCCATGATGGCTCCCGGCGCGGCCCCAGCCATACTCTCCCGCGAGCGAGCGTGGCGCATGCGCGAGGCGGGGACGGGCGAGGGGGCGCACGCTCGGCCCCGCGGCCCCGCCCCCCGCGGCCGCGCGCGCGGCCCGGGAGGAAGGCGGGGCCTGGGTGAAGGGGCGGGGCCTGGAGGAGGGGCAGAGCCGCGGGCTCCCCGCTAGGAACAAAGGGGACCGGGCGAAAGGAACGCCCCCCAGTCGATTTCTGAGCGCTGCTAGGGTGGGCCAGGGGCCCATGCAGAGAGGTTTCCTACCGGACTCGTGCACAGTCTCACCCCTGCTGCACCAGCCCTGCCAGCGCCAGTTTCCTCATCGGACAGCTGGGAACAAATCCTCTGGGGAGTGTCTAGGACCCACGAAAGTGTTTTAATTTCTTTTATTTTTGATAAAAAGTACTAAACGCGGCAGGGCGTGGGGGCTCACGCCTGTAATCCCATAGGACCCACGAAAGTGTTTTAATTTCTTTTATTTTTGGTAAAAAGTACTAAACACGGCAGGGCGTGGGGGCTCACGCCTGTAATCCCAGCCCTTTGGGAGGCCCCGGAGGGTGGATCGCTTGAGATCAGGAGTTCGAGACCAGCCTAGCCAACATGGTGAAACCCCGTCTATACTCAAAATACAAAAATTAGCCAGGCGTGGTGACGGGCGTCTGTAATCCCAGCTACTCGGGAGACTGAGGCAGGAGAATCGCTTGAACCCGAGAGGTGGAGGTTGCAGTGAGCCAAGATCGCACCGCTGTACTCCAGCCTGGGCAACAGAGTGAAACTGTGTCTCAAAAA